CTTTGTGGGCTTTGTGCACAGTCTTGTTGTAGTTAATCCTTGATTGTTGTAGGTATCACTGGGAGGAATTGACCTCCAGGACAATTGGCTGTGAGAATCAGCTGTGTCTACAGTGGGAGAACTTCTGTGCTGAAGACACCCTTATGAGGCAAGACTTGCTTCAGTGGAGCTTTGGTGCTCAATGAGTCTGCCCCCTGAGTGTGTCCCTTATGGATCTGAGGAGTTGTAATTGGATTGTCCCACTCTGACCACTGGGAACACTGGCTCTTGGATCTAAGGAGTGCTAATTTAGCCTCTGCCTGAGGCTACCCAGCAGGAGCTAGGAGGAGATCTGCAGATTCCCCTTCCTTGTTTGGGGTTTGGAGGTGCCCAAATAAGGCCCAGCTGTGAAGCAATGCAAGCTGCTGTGGGGCCTTGGGCCTTCTCTTGGAAGTTCTGGGTCTGTCTGGCCCAGCTTCAGTTTGTTAGGTAATTTTCAGATTGCAAAGGGCCAGGGCATTCATATGCAAAAGCTTCTGTCGCAGCTTGGGTGGGGCGGGGTCTCAGGGAATCAACAGGGCGAGCAAGCAGCTATGGCTGATCCTCAGCCCTGCCCTAAGGGGCCCTGTGTCTCAGTGTCCCAGTAATCGCTGCAAGCACCTTTGCGGGAAAGCCGCCCTCGAGTTCCGAGTTCTGCCTGCTGCCAGACAGTCCAGTTTCTCCCCATATGAGTCTAGGTCCCCAGAGACTCACCCAGAACTGGAGTTCAGAGCAGTCGGGGGCTTGTGACTCCCTCCCGATTCAAAAAGACAGCCGTTTCCTCAGTTGCCAGCCCTTGCCGCGTGCGCCTCCGTACCTCTGCACTTTACTTCCACACCTCCTCTGAGTCTCAGTGTGCTTTTTTCTTTCCTTCTAGTTGTAGAATTTCCACTCATCCTGTGGTTCTGGATGATGTCCGTTTTGTCTTTTAGTTGTATTTTTGAATTTGTTGTGGGAGGCAGCAATTTCCAGTGTTTACCTATGCTGACATCTTGGTTTTTTCTCTCTCCCTAGTGTTGAGTGTCTAAGCCAGGGGTGGGCAAACTTTTTGACTCGAGGGCCACAATGGGTTCTTAAACTGGACCAGGGGGCCGGAACAAAAGCATGGATGGAGTGTTTGTGTGAACTAATATAAATTCAAAGTAAACATCATTACATAAAAGGGTACGGTCTTTTTTTTTTTTTAGTTTTATTCATTTCAAATGGGCCGGATCTGGCCCACGGGCCGTAGTTTGCCCACGGCTGGTCTAAGCCATTACAGTGTTATGGCATGAGGGCGTGATGACCATTTGCATATTTGCTCTTTATTATATAAGAGGATACTGTATTTTTCTATACCTTCTCTATCTTTAGATATACAAATATTTACCAGTGTTGCCTACAGTATTCCATACAGTAACAAGCTATACAAGTTTGTAGCCTAGGAGCAATAGGCTGTACCATACAGCCTAGGTCTGTAGTAGGCTATACCATCTAGATTTGTGGAAGTGCACTCTGAAGTTTGTACAATGAAACTGCCTATCTATTTTTCAGAATGTTTCCCTGTCATTCAGCACTGCATGACTATACTGGAAGAAAAAAATGCTAAAAAGTGCATTATGTGATATGTTAGGAGCAATGCAGGTGACCAACTGTCACTATGAAAACTGCAACTTCTGCCTTAGTCAGTTTGGCTCAGTGGATAGAGCACTGGCCTGTGGACTGAAGGGTTTGATTCTGGTCAAGGGCACATGTCTATGTTGCCCGTTCAATCCCCAGTTGGGGGCGTGCAGGAGGCAGCTGATCAATGATTCTCTCTCACCATTGATGTTTCTATCTCTCTCTCCCTCTCCCTTCCTCTCTGAAATCAATAAAAATATATTTTAAAAAAAGAAAACTGCAACTTCTGCATCCAGGGAACAAAGAGACATGCTATCAAGAAGGCATATAGCCAATATAAAATCTCCTCAGTTCTCTTGGTCCCTGTTTTTTACTCAAACTTGAATCTTAGCAAATTAAAAAATAAAATAAAAAACTTTTGGAAATTTTCATGTCTAATAATATTTTTAAATTTTAAAAACTTTAATATTAAAAAAAGGTTTTCAGTATTCAATAACACCATCTACATGACATAAAGTTCACGAAAATGTAAATTCAAGTACATGGTGTGTTTGGGAAATTCAGTACTTTGGTTAATTGAACTATTCATTTTCTTTTTTTTTTTAAATATATTTTATTGATTTTTTACAGAGAAGAAGGGAGAGGGATAGAGAGTTAGAAACATCGATGAGAGAGATCGACCAGCTGCCTCCTGCACGCCCCCCAGTGGGGATGTGCCCGCAACCAAGGTACATGCCCTTGACCGGAATCGAACCTGGGACCCTTGAGTCCGCAGGCCGACGCTCTATCCACTGAGCCAAACTGGTTTGGCTGAACTATTCATTTTCATGTTTCTATTCTTGTTGAATAAAACTCTTTCTAAAATGTATCAGTATATTTAATTCCCTTATTGAATAAAACATATTTATCTTAATTGAATACCCTTTTAAATAGTCATCAGCCTATCAATGTTTCTTGTCGAGGAGTATATAGGTATATATGCATGTGACTACATATGTATGTATGTATGCATGCACATATGAGCATGAGCTGAAAGAAAACCAGTAGTGTTGGGTTTTTTTTCAGATTCTGTCCATTTTATTCTGTTTAAGAAAGCAAGATCATGTTTAATAACATTAATTTGTAAGATTTCCACCAATAACAATGAAAATAAAAACAGCTTGGGGAACATGGAGGGCTAAGTTTCAGTGATCTAGAAAGTTTTCATTTATATGTGACAGCTGCTCAACTTTTTTTCCAGATACTATGGAAATGACCTGAAGTCCCATCTCTTTGCAAATGAATTTCTGAATTTCATATTGGCTGAGAAAGAAAAGAGGAAGGAAACTTGGTGGGAGCTCCTTGGTGAGGCACAGAGGACCTTCACCTACCGGCTCCAATTCTGCGTTTTAGCCTCCCTCCCTCTGGTTGCCTTCTAATAAGCATCACCTGGGGGTCTGCTACAAATGTAGAATCTCAGGCCTCACTCTAGACCTACTGAGTCAGAATATGCACATTAACAAGATCCCTATGGGCTCCCACTGCACATGGAAGTGTGAGAAGCACTGATCAAGTCTAAACCATGACCAGGAAACACTCAGATCCTTATCATTTCAGGAAAAACCTGCCCTTTGAACAGGCCCAAGGTGGACTCTCCTTGTACTGACCCCATGCTACAGTACATAGTATTCAGAAAACTCAAATTCATTCATTCATTCAATTAATATTAAGACAAATCATATGAAATTGCCATTCTATAGGTCCCAGATGAGTTAATATTGTCTGATATGGTCTAGCTCTTAATATTTATTGAGCTCCTATTATGTGCCAGGCACAATGCTAGGTATTGGGGATGTAGGAATGGGCAAAACCAGCCTTGGTTGCTGCCTTCATAGAGCTTACAGTCTACCAGGAGAGATACTTATTTTTTAAAAATCCACACAAATAGATATAAAATCACAAGGTGGAAGTCTCTGGTGCATAGACCATCCATGAGTTGATGTATTTCAGGGTGAATTTTGGTCAGAAGAGACATCCCTGAGGAAATGTGGCCAGAATTGCATTCTGAAGGGTGAGGGTGATAGGCAGAGAATGAGGATCATGCAGACTCAGGGGGTGAGAATTCCAGGCAGAGGGCACAGCAGGTGTAAAGGATTCCATGGAGGTAGAGACCATCACCCCACCCCATGACTGCAAGACCTAGCTGGCCAAGTCTAGAGTCTCTCCTCTCCAAAATGACTGTGCCAGCAAGGAAGCTGAGCTTGTCCACAGCAGCTCCTCAGGCTTTCTGCTTCTCCTACAGCCTCTCTATATAAAGGCTTCCAGTGACTTCTCTTTCCCATGGGAAGGGACTGGCAGACTACTGTTTAATGGTCCTGCTAGTCCAATTTACTCACCTTATATCTGTGTACTCTGCTTTTGATTTTTCTTGTCTGAATAAACTTTGGTGGCCTTAGGGGAGGTTGTTTCAATTCCCTGATTGCCTATGGTGATCTCTCTTGCTAAGTCTTTGTACATGCTGTTCCCTCTGCCTGGACACCACATGGGCAGCCTGCCCACCTCCCTCTACTCCAAGTCATTGTCAGCACCCATCCAGGAAGTGTTCTTTGCCCACTCCCTCCAAACTCTGGTGCTGCTCCAACAACCCCCTGCAATAGATGTGTTAAGCACTCATTGCCCCCTACCACCAAGTCTGATTTTCCTCATCAATCCTCCCCAACACTCAGCTCAGGGCACAGGAGTTACTCAAAATGTACTTGTTGAATGAATAAATGAAATACTGTATTTAACTGGATGCACAGCGGTGGCCCACACTGTAGGTTGGCTTACTCAACTGCCGTTTCCTTTCTTTCTTCCTTGCCTGCCTTCACTCTCAGGGTATTGGTTTTTAAACGAAAGTCCATCATCTGCCTATCTCAGTGGTCAGCAAACTCATTAGTCAACAGAGCCAAATATCAACAGTACAACAATTAAAATTTCTTTTGAGAGCCAAATTTTTTAAACTTAAACTATATAGGTAGGTACATTGTTATTAACTTAATTAGGGTACTCCTAAGACTTAGGAAGAGCCACACTCAATGGGCCAAAGAGCCGCATGTGGCTCGCGAGCCGCAGTTTGCTGACCACGGGGCCCTATCTTATCATCATTTCCTTCTTTATCCTAAAAACTCACAGCAGAGAGAGAAGCCTTTCTGTTTCATACAAAAGAATTCTTTTTCAAAAATATTTGCTGTCAATGGGGTATATTTTATTTTTCCTTTCTGTGCTGTAAAAAAAGATTGTTATAATCTGTTGTTTAAAAAATTCTAGGGATACTAAAGCAAGTGTCTAAACTAGATTTCAAAATGTGAATCAAAGCTTTAAAAAATTAATCAACCTAATACTCAAAAGTAAAAACTTCATACCTTGTTTGCTAGGTTTATAGCACTGAGAGCTTTATCATAATATTCTCTGTCATCCCAATCCAAATAAACAGTGGCTAGAAGCCGTAGAATTTTAGCCTATAATTACAAATAGAAAAAAAGCACACAGCTGAGGGTTAAATTGCAATACCACATCTGATTAGCACTTACACAGTGACAGGCATCTTCTCAAATGTAAGTCATCATTTCCTCAAGTGTAAGAATTTTATAGTATTAGTTTACCTTAATTTAATAAAATTGTGTTAATATAATTATTTTCTGAACAGTGTTTTAGTATTAAAGTACTTTATCATCCTCATTTTACAAATAAAGGAAACTAAGGCTAGGTCATAACAATATTTAATTTAATCAGCTTACCACCTACTGCATTGTATTAAACCTCCATAAAAAGAGATAAATAGCCTGGCCAGTGTGGCCCAGTGGTTGAGCATCAACCCATGCACCAAGAGGTTACTGGTTCAATTCCTGGTCAGGGCACATGCCTGAGTTTCAGGCTCAATCCCCAGCAAGGGGCGTGCAAGAGGCAGCCAGCCGGTCGATGTTTCTCTCCCCTGCCTCTCTAAAATCAATAAAAACATTTTTAAAAAAGAGATAAATAGAAAAACATAATTCCTTTCTCAAACTTGACAGCTTATTTGAGATTAACCAATTGGACCAAGGCACACATACCACCATTTCAGTAGGAACAGATATATTCTCCTAGAGAGAAGATTTCTCCCAACTGAGCTAAATTTTAAAATGAACAATGTATTGCTGAATTAAGTAAGTTTCTCCAGCCAGGTCTGCATTGATAAGGGAGTAACTTTATTCATTTTGAACATATTAACTACAGGTTCACATTTTAAAGAAGGATCCCTATTTCAATGAATAATCTGCCCCTAAGTATAATAAGGACAGTAGGACCAAACAAAGGTGATCTTCTAACATTAAAAACTATATGTTAGCCCTAACTGGTTTGGCTCAGTGGATAGTGTCAGCCTGTGGTCTGAAAGGTCCCAGGTTCGATTCCAGTCAAGGGCTTGTATCTTGGTTGTGGGCACATCCCCAGTAGGGGGTGTGCAGGAGGCAGCTGATCGATGTTTCTCTCTCATCGATGTTTCTAACTCTCTATCCCTCTCTCTTCCTCTCTGTAAAAAATCAATAAAATATATATATATTTTTAAAAATATATGTTAAACACATTAAGGATCTGTGAAACTAGAGAAATGACATTTAGGGTGTTATGTATTTGATATTTTTAATTCAAAAACCAATATGGATCAAGTAGGATGTATATAATGTACTTAATATTATTATTATTGTAGAACAACTCTCAACTTATAAAGTCTCCCAGAGGACTTTTATGAAATAAATATGGCAAAAGGGTCAAATAATCAGAAAAATATAACAAAATGAATGAATCTCAAAACTATTTATGTTAAGCAAAAGAAGGCAGACATAAAGCAGTACATACTGTATGATTCCATTTATACAAAGTTTTAAAAAAAGCTGAAAATAATCTATAGCAATAGAAGTCAGAATAGTGGTTTTATCCTGGGGGTCGGAATGACTATTAACTGGAAAGGGACCAAGAGAACTTTTGAGGGTGATAGAAATTTCTGTAACTTGATCTGTGTGGTGGTAACAAGATATATTAAAATTCATCAGACAGTACACTTAAGATTTGTATAATTATTGTACAAATTATTCTACATAAATTAAACATCAATAAAGTACTGTTAGCATGAAAGAAAAACTACTTCACCAACTATACTTTAATTTTAAAAATATTAAAACCAAAATAAAGGAAGGAAAACTACTTCATAATCTTACTTTACAATATACATATTACATTTCAATCTCAATTAAATCCTGTCTTCCATCCTCATTTCATCCTCCAGACATCTTACCTGGTATTCCCTTCTCCCTCCATTTTAACTGTATGGACCCCATCTACTTTTCATGGACTTCCTACCACAAGACTTCTTCAACTACTCCAGTCAACCCTGATATTCCCCTTTCTGCATGCCCTTATACAAACTTCAGGTCAGTACCACACAGTTTATCACTTAGTTTTCCCAAATTGCTTCACCAATACTCAGGTTTTTGGTGTGTGTGTGTTTTTTTTTTAATTTTAATTGAAGCATAAAATACAAAAAAGTTCAAAATCTCGAGTACATAAATTTTCATAAACTAACCACATGTATGTTTAACAACACAGTTATCAAAAGCATGGAACACCCTGACACATCTCAGAGGGGAGGGAGGTGGGAAGAGATTAGCCAAAGAACACATATGCATATATGCATAGCCCATGGACACAAACAACAATGTGATGAAGAGGGCTGGGTGGAGGGGAGCAAATGGGAGACATCTATAATACTATCAACAATTAAAAAAAAGAAACAAAGCCCTAGCCAGTTTTGCTCAGTGGATAGAGTGTCTGCCTGTGGACCAAAGGGTCCTGGGCTTGATTCTGGTCAAGGGCACATACCTTGGTTACAGACTCCTCCCCAGCCTGGGCCCTGGTTGGGGTGCATGCAGGAGGCAACCAATTGATGTGTTTCTCTCACATTGATGTTTCTCTCTGTCTTTCCCTCTCTCTTCCACTCTCCCTAAAAATCAATGGAATATAATGAACAACATAAACTGATGAACAAAAACAGATCCAGAGACAGAGAAGCATCGATCAGACCATCAAACCTCAGAGGGAAGGTAGGGGAGGGTGTGGGTAAGGGGGAGAGATCAACCAAAGGACTTATATGCAAGCATATAGGCCTAACCAATGGATACAGACAACAGGGGGGTGAGGGCATGAGTGGGGGGGGGGATGGGGGCTAATGTGGGGATAAGAACACATATGTAATAACTTACATTTTTTTTTAAAAAAAGGAAGCATCTTTGAGTATAAAAAAATCAATGGGAAAATATCAAGTGAGGATTAACAAAAAAGGAAGGAATGGAGGGAGGGATGGAGGGATGAAGGGATGGAGGGAGGGAGGGAGGGAGGGA